TGCCACAATATAATTCCAAGTTATATATCACCATGAGGATTAAATCTTAAACATGGAATTTAATTAAATAAAAGGTTTCAAAACCTAACCGAATATTCTAAATCAAATATATGTGAAGTTATATGGCATGTAAATTAAGAATATCAAGTCGGAATTCAAATAAAGTGAATAGTGCACTCGGGGTAAATTAATTAATTAAATTAATTAATAATTACTAATTTTCAAAACACCTCCAATTATTTTCAAATTCAACTATATTGGAGAGCATGCTAAGGCCTAATTTAATATGCTAACACATATTAATTTTGAGCTAGTTAAGGCCACATGATTTAATATTTTATTCAAGATAAATATTAAATAAAATTTTTATTACTTGTTCAAATTTCCTCAATTTAATATATATCAATGACCATATTATAGAGTATTATATTACCATACTACATGTTTAAAACAAATCATAAGTAACCGAAAAAATCAAATCCAATACAAGAAAATTAAATAATAAAATATCTAGATTTCATATTTAAGCATGCAATCAAATTGTATAAGCATCAATAGCATGTTATATAACAAGAATTAAACCTATAACACCTCCTACCTCAATTTGAGATGAAAATCCCAAATCCCCACCGAATTGAAATGACTCCGAATCCGACGAAACTCCTAATTTTTGTCGGGGACAACACGATCTATATGAATCCCAAAGAAGCCCCATGAAACTCCTAGGGCTTTTTTTTTTTTTTTTTTTTTTTTTTTTTTTTTTTTTGTCTCTCTTTTACTCTCAATTGCTCTCCAAGGCAAACACGAAAAGAAGAAGAAATTTTGAAGTCTTCTAGCTTTTAGTCAGTTAGTTAACCCTAAGCCAATGCACAAGAAATCCTAATCCCTCTTTTCTCCTATTGTTGCTCCTTTTTGCTAAATTGAAATTAGGATTTCCTTAATATATTGTATGTATAATAAGTTATAGTGACGTTATACGATTTTTGGATAATTGTAAATGTATTAGTAAAATATTATCCATCAATATTTAAGTTATTGTTTACATTATTTTGACTAATTTTTCCTATATGACTACCAAGGTTTATATAAAGTTTAGAATGTCCTAGTTCCTCTGAAAATATAAAAAAATTCGTGCATAGGACTTGGAAGGAAGTTGGGATCAAAAAGGAAACAATCAGAAGAAGAAACTGAAAACTCTAATGCTGCCAAGACTTCTGGTACCGGTTCCCAACTGTGGTACCGGTTCAAGAAGGTCAAAAGCCTTTCCGATGCACTTTGGCTACCGGTTCCCAACTGTGGTACCGATTCAAGGTTGGCAGTGAACAAACCTGTTGTGGACCAAGGTTTGCTACCGGTTCAAGGATTCTCCTACCGGTATTCACTAGATAGAAATGAAATCTCTATTTCCTTCAACTTTCTAAACTCCCTAAAGTGTCCTCACTCACTCACATACCATCCTAAAGCATTGTTCTCATCATCCCGAAGTGTAGTATACCATGAACACTTGAACTTCTTCAATCCGCATCCGATCTTCAATCTTTGAAATTGATAACTGAAAAATTACAACTCGATCAGACTTATTTTGACAACAAAATTAGTTAATTATAAAATATATCTCACATAAACAAAGCCTCGTATACATAAGGTTTCTTAATGTTGATATCAGTAACATCAACCTCTAGTTTATCATCAACTTCAGCCGAGAAAACTTCGTAATTAGGGTCCTTATAATAAGTGCCCTTAGAGAAATTCTTCCTTTCTTTTTCCTCTCTAAGTATTTCTTCATAACAAGTAGCCATGTTTGCCAAATCAAAAAGATCATGAAACTCGACCCCATCGAACCTTTTGCGATGCTCAATGTCCAAACCATTCAAAGCTAGTTTGATATATTCATGTTCAGGCAAGTTCACTCGACACTTGAGTTTAGCCAAGTGTTGGGGCCTGCTTCCTCGCATTGTGTTGTAAATTGAGCAATATGTTGCACTGTGGAATAATTTTCCTCACCACTATACATAGAAAAATCAGTATATCGATAATTTCTAGGGAATTCATAAGCATCCACGTGATCAGGATAAGGTTTCTTATATACTGGCCGACGACACCTTCGCCCTTGAGCTACCTCAGCCTGGATCAAAGCTAGAATATGAGCCCCATCCTACATTATGCGCTGGCTAATCGATTGGTTTAAGTGTAGCATATGGATTAACCTACTCGTCGGGGATTCGCAATCATATGCCCCCCGGCAGCCGCTAGTGGTGCAAGTTGGTTATTTCTCCATCGATTCGGATTGCCCCCCATTCCCTCCTAGGAAAAATTGACAATGCTTGCGGGCGTTGCTGATTCTGATTCTGCTAGCGTTACGCCGGTGGTTGATATACTAGAATAGTCGGTATCAATGGTGTCTCTGGTATTATCGGCGAATTACCATCGAGTAAACTATCAGTTACACTCGGCTGGCTAAAGCTTTCTGTTGTTATCTGTTGCACTTGAGGGATGTGTGTCAATGATAAAGAAATATGTTGAAGAATTGACTCATAAGCTGCCGAGCTTTCGGCCTGACCAGGACGACTCTGGGTAACCGTTATCTGACCCATTATGGCTTCCATCTTCTGATTGACTTCTCCTATTTGGGCTTGCATCTTATTGCTATTTTCACTAATCTGTGCCTGCTGGCCATCAATTCTCCGTATGATGGCCACGAATATCTGAGCCAAAGGAACATCAGATGGCATAGCCGATTCTGCCACGTTAGATCCTCTTGGGATGATTAGCTGGTCCTCGTTTTCGATATCATCATTGGTTGTGGGAATAACCTTCGAATTCTTTTGCCTAGGAAGCTTAACTATTACAACTCACTCACCAGTGGGTCTCACCAGACGTGCCAAGAATGTTGACCCTAAAATCTGTGGGCTTCGCTGATTCAGAAATTTGTGTATGCAGATGTGCCAGAACCAACAACTTGGTTCGAGTGTGGAGATTAGGTCAAACTGAGTCTCTTTTGCAAGAAAGTTATGGATCAGACAATTGTATGACAGAGCGAACATTAAACTCTCAACTAGGTTCAAACTACCTTGATAAACAGGACTTTAAATAGGAAAGTGAATTGCAATGATCGATAAAACAGAATGAGAAAAGGATGAGAGAGAGATATATAAGAGAAAAATAGAGGGAGAAAGAAGAGAAAGAGAGAGTGAGAATAGAAATATTGCTAAAGAGAGGAAGTTGAATGAGACGAGAAGAGCTTAAGAAAGCATAATTATATTAAATTAAGATTTTGAGGGTGTTGGACTAACTCCTACACTTAAGCACTCTAATTACATCATGAGTCCATAAATTACTTATATAGAATAACTATCCGCATATCCAACCAAAACCAACTCAAAGATAACCATTATCATTATAAACCTTATCTAAAAAATAAGTTAGTATCTTCATCCACGCCACCTTTGCATATAGTTTCACATAATCTGTTGCCAAATCACTTTCGAAGCAATTTATTCCACGTGTCAACTATCATCCACGTCATTACCAAAACATTATGCCAAAATGGGTGCCAACAGGCGGCGAGGCTATCTTCAGTGATTCCACAGAGGCAATATGCCTTGGAAGACTGTGTTTTGGGCTTTAAATTGCAATTTGAAGTATATATGGTTTGATAGTGACTCGTTGGTCGACGTTTGCAAGGCTATGGACTTGTTGGATCAAGGTCCAAAGGATATTAAAGCAATATCTTTTGATATCCATGAAGCCTTTGTGTTTTTGGATCCCTTGTATAACCCTCTTATGGTGGTTTCTTTTGGACCGGTATTTGGACTTTCTTTATGTTCAAGTTCAAGGTGCACAAGTTGATGACGGATTTTCACATCAAATATGGAAACCACCTTGGATGGGACTAGTGCAATGCCTTATGAATAATGGTTCTCGATCCCATGCAAGAGATGGATAGAGGAGAATGGGCAGTGCATGTTCACAGAGCTCCTTAGGACTCCATTGTTAGTTTAAATTTGTTTAAGCCTTATTCCTCACCCTCTTCTATTGATGGACATGCAATATGCTTATTGCAAGGCCTTAATTGGGTGCTGAAACTTCCCTTCTAGATGATGTGTTTGCAGCTGATGTGAATGAGGTGATTGACGTTATCGATGGATCCTTTTCTTCACCTGTTGAGATTTCTTCCTGTATTTTTGTTCTCCTAATGGCAAATGCTTGGTTCTAGCATGTTTTGTTTTCGTTCATATATTGTCGCACATAAACTGTTGCCAAGATTTCAGTTAGAGACTTTCAGTCTGATATGTTTGTTGCTTGTTGTTTGTCTGATCACATCCTTGTGTTAGCAAAGGATGGCCTCTGTAATCTATTGTGTTGTGTTGTGTTGTTTTGTTTGGCAAAAATAAAATAAAAATTATGTGTGATTGTTTTTCTTCCACTAACAAAGAAGAGAAAGAGAAGGATTAATTTTTTTTTTTTATTAGCAAGAAACTCATACACCTATTTGTCTCTAATGAAACTCGAACCCTCATGTTTTACTTGAAAGGTAGCGGAGTTGCAAAACACTATTTAGTCATCTTAAAACAATTTTAGAGTTCTTAATAAACAATTTTAGTGTTTTTTATTTACTAAATTACTCTTAATCACTCACTTATTAACATTTAAGTTTTAGATTTGGTGACTATTTATCTTCTATTGACTTTGAAATCACTTTAGAACAATTTTGTTTAAATTTAATGACCAAAATCTAATTTTCCCTTTTATATATTTGGATTTGTATAATTAAAATTACATCAACCCACTTATTTATTTATTATTTAATTATATATATATATATATATATATATATATATATATATTTTGCCATTTTCAAAAGCTTCCTTTAGCCAATTACAATTACTTTTTAAAACACTCAATCCCTCTTCCTCTCATAGTAGTATATATATAACTGCTGCATGTGAGTTCTAGTAATACTTTCTCTCTCCCCCCACCCCCCCTCCTCCTCTCTCTCTCTCTCTCTCTATATATATATATATATATATAATATGGTTGGTGTTTTTATTCGCTCTTCATTACTAGTAATGGTGCTAATACTCTCCGACCTCATCAACCAAACACATGGAGGGTATTTGAATAGTAATGTAAGTGGATTTGGAAGCGAAGGGTGTAATATTTTCCAAGGGAGTTGGGTGTTTGATGATTCTTATCCTCTCTACGACACAACAAACTGTCCGTTCGTAGAGAAGCAGTTCGATTGCCAAGGGAACGGTCGACCAGACACAGACTACCTCAAATACAGGTGGCAACCCACCGGATGCGATTTACCAAGGTACTGTACACCCACCGTTACTCTTTCTTATTCACGTTCTCTACCTGTCTTTATCGCGTTTTGCAAACCGTTCGATTTAAATCATCCATCAAGTTGTTGGAGAAGTGTAAGTTGTTAATTTTTTTTTTTTTTGACAATAAATTCAAACACCCACTCCACTTATTTGAAAACTAAAACTTTTATCACCTTATTCGATATAAGAATATAATATAATACTATAATAGTTGTGTTTTTTAATTATTATTATTATTATTATTTTAATTTTTTAATATGTTGTCACACTCGTTTGAAAGGTGAGAAAACTAAATATAGTAACGTGAAGTTAACAAAATATGCTTTTTTGACGTAGTCATTCGATTACCGTGTCATTTTCTATTAGTCTTTGGTGTCCTCTAAATCTTGTGCTGTTTTTATTCATATTACAATTGTTTAATATAGTTTATAGGGTAATTTTGTCACGAGGTCACTATTATCTAAACTAGCATATTTAATTTTTACTGTCTTGACGGTGACAAGAGTTGTGTATACCGTATAAAGTAGACTTATTGGCACTGGGCAGAAAATCCTTGGTAGAAAGGAAATCTTTAATTGTTAGATTGGCTCGTCATTATGTGGGATCTCTTTTTTTCTGACTTTTTCTCGTCTTGATTTGATATATTTGTATCTTATAAATAGTCCTTGCCAATAATTGATTTTTGTAATTTAGAGTTACTATATTTATTCCACAGAAATTTGATTTTTTGAATTTCAAACTAATTCGTTCAAGGGCACTAAATTTGGATACTCTAATTACATTTGACAAGATCTAAAGCATCTATGCTAATTGTATAATTTCACCATCAAATGATTAGGGAAGGGATTCGAGTTCGAATGGAGTAAAAAATGTGTGAGTGGAGAGAATATAAGCATTAAGCACCATTTTTCAAGAGGATCATAAGATGTTTTTTTATTATTATTATTATATTTTTTTTATTATTATTGATAAGAAATATATTCATACACCTATAATATTCTTACGGACTTGAACATTGGACTTTTTTTTTTGAACGACGAGGAACTGTTTTTCAAGAGGCATATAAAATAGTATATTTTTCCTACAATGCCATTATAGGGATTTGAGTCCGAACCTTCTCTTTCAAAAGTAAAGAAATATCAGTAGGCTACGCCGCAATTGATATAAAATAGTACATCAATGCACCATCTTTCCTCTGTTTCCCTAATTATATATACTATATATATATAATCTTTACTCCTATATTTATTTATTTTATTTTTTTTATCATTGACAAGAAACTTATATACACTTCACTTTATTCCTTTATATGCCTTCTCTATAAGAAAGGAAGGGAAAGAATAAGAAATGAATGAGACATTCATAAGGAAGAGATTTTGTATTTTTTTTTTTTTTAATTTTCTTTTATAATTATTTTACCATTATATCTAATAATATTTATAATATTCTAATTTATAGAAGATAGTACGTTAATTTAAAACTTGTATAATTTAAGATAATATTTAATTTAAAATATCTATAATTGTTTACTTGTCTTTTACTAAATTTTGAGTGGATGAAAATTTGTAAGGGACAAAATTCTTCTTTCTTTCCTTGTATTATTTATACTGAAAAACAAAAAAAAAAAAAAAAAATTCCTTTGTTCTGATTTTCCCTTCACATTTCTCCTTTCCTTTCTTTTTACCGACCTGAACCCTCACCGTTTAAAGTAAAAGAAATACCACTTGCCACAATAGTTTGGCCCTTTTAATCCACACATGTATTAAAAATTAATCATGATGTAGGCCTTTCAAAGTTCCAATTACATCTTGAAGGGCCCCACCCATATATATGGCCCACTTTATATCTTGGTTCAACCTCCACAGACTGGGTGACTTGTCTTCCAATTTTGTCATTACGTGTCGGACAACAATTGTGGACCACTCAGAGCAAATTGCGTACACACTACTGTGGCATCACGAGAGCCCACCCCCACTTCTAACCATTTTCTCGTGGGACCCAATAAAACATCAAAATGTTATGATGTTCCGGTAACCATGAATGGAAGCTAGGAAAAAGAGCATGCTATGTTTGGAAAGCTAGAAAATGGATGGAAATAAAAAAGTTTTAAGTGAAAATGAGAGAATTTGGACAAAAATTAGTGTTTCATCCATGTTTCAACTGTTTTTTTTCAAATGAAAATAATAAAAATAAATAATTGTGATTTACTTATTGACTTTATCAAAAACATCTTTAATATATTAAAAGACTAAACTATTCCTAAATATTTTACAAATTTAGGATTATATATATATATATATATATATATATATATACACCACCACCACAACTAACAGCTGCACCACCACGATCTCCATCACCAAATCACGCACTCATCAATGGCGCCGATCTATTGAGAACAAGTGATATGATTTGTTGTTCTAATGAATTGTTGTGTTTAGATGTGGGAGAAATTGTAGTTAGGGAAGAGGTGAAAAGGGAAACAAAGAGAAATTCGGGTATCTCATTCTCTTTTTTACTTTTTTACTGTTTTTGTTGGACATTTGGGAGGTCCAAGTTTGGCATCGTGTTGATGTTGCAAAGAACAAACCCTAAATTAAAAATTAGGGTTTGTAAATTGAATCGATGAAGAGAGCAAATTAGAGTTTGAACAAATATGGGTTTGATTAATAAACTTGATGGTCGGAAGAATTAAAATTGGTGTTGCCGACGAAGTAAACTTTTAGATTCCTTAAACCTTAGAGTGGTGATAGATCAGGTCGCTGTCCCTACAAAATCATGTTGATAGAGCAACATAGGAAGTGTCGATAGAAAGAAAATGAGATGAAACAAATAAACATCTTCTTCTTCTAAAAGTACCGTGGCTGCTATCAATCAGCTTTAGGAGGCCACACATCCAATTGAGATACCACATCAACCACTCCGCTTGGGTTCTAAATTGAAATTTCTAGGAATTTTCTGAACTGCCAAAGAAACACCATACGCATATGTATATATGTGTATAATATATATATATATTTATATATGTATAGGATTCTATTTTCTCTCTACCTTCAACAAACATGGAAACTTAATATATGGTTTTCAAAGTTTACTCTAATTTTCCTTTTCTTTTCAAATCCTTCTAAGGAAAAGAAAAGAAACCAAAAGAGGTATTTATGGAATAACTAATAATAATTAAAATAAAATAAAATAAATAATTGATGATGAAGGGAAACGGCTAGTAAATTAGGCGGTGAAGATGAAATAGTAGGTAGATTAGATAAAAAGTTGATTCATCTGGTAATGGTGGCGTGGTGGTGGGAGGTGGCCGGCCGGCGTTGAGAGAGGGCCGGTGAGGTGAGGGTGAGGGTGATGGGGGTAATTTTGTCATTATACAATTATGATGTTTTAAATTAAAATGTATTAAAAATTGAAGGTAAAAATATCATTTTGCACTCATTTTGACAGTGTGATTGACAAAAAAGTGATTTGAGGTGTGAGTGATAGTATTTTTCGAAAAATGTTTTAATGTAATATTTAGCCGTGAAACTAACCCTTTATCTTTCTATTTTATTCTTTCTACACCCAAAGTTAGACATTTTTTCTTTTACTTTGCCAACATCCGAAGACAATGACCTTAGACATTTCTTCTTTTACTTCGCCAACTCCCGAAGACAATGACCTTAGACATTTCTTCTTTTACTTTGCCAACACTCGAAGACAATGACCTGTCATCGTTGATGCACACATGGTTCATAGTTATATAGTACCCATCACGATTGCAGTGTAATATATTTGAGTGAATATTGATATAAATCGTTAGATACGTGTAATGATATCGAATTTTTAAAAAATATTACAAACTGACCTATACGTAACGTATCAATCGATACGACCAATAATACACATAAAAATATCACATTAAATTAGTAATAAAACCAATAGGCCTATGGCCTAGCTGTATCAGACCCCTACTTCTCAAACAGTGGTCAAGGGTTCGAACCTCAGTGGAGGTATGTGTGTGTGAGTACCAACTAAGACAAAAAAAGATAATAATAAATAAATAAATTAATAATATAAGAAATAATCATTATATATATATACACACACATTGAGAATGTAATACTTGAAACACTGTTATTTCAAAAATGCAACACCAAATCCGAATATTGTATTTTTGCAATATGCATGTGTCACATTCTTAGTGCAATGAGTGTCGTGTGTGTTGGGTCAGGTGTTCCTTTCAATACAAATTGCATATGCATTAGAAAGATTCGTTTTGGTGGTAACTAAACACGAAATACAAGAAAGGAAAAAAAAAAACTTGTAACGGAAAGAATCTGAATTTCATGTTCACAACTTCCAAACGTAATTTATGATTAATGTTTTCATTTGCTTTGTCCTCAATATCGTGTGTTAATGTGTCACTGTCTGACAAGGATCATCTGCTGGACCCCACAAGCCTCTTGACTGGCCTTTTCTTGATGTAGGTTTGACGGTGGAGATTTCTTGATGAAATTAAGTGGAAAACGCATGATGTTTGTAGGAGATTCTTTGAGCCTCAACCAATGGCAATCACTCACCTGTATGCTTCACATAGCAGTTCCACAGACTAAGTACGTCTCCACCAGGGTTGGGGACCTCTCCACGTTCACATTCCCGGTAAGAATCTCTCTCTCTCTCTCTCTATATTTATATATATATAATATATATATATGCATGCAATGCACGTGAATGGTTATTTGTATGATTATAAAGTGAAAAGGATCAAAATGTATATAAGAATAATTTTGTACTTGAATAAAATAGTTGACAGACTTTAAAAATTTATTAGTAGAGATTGTAAATAAAAAAGGTTTGTCTAAATGATTGGTAGATATAATTTTGGGAGAGTGTGATCTATTTATCTCCAGATTTGAAAACTTAAACAATGACACCCCATTTTATAAATAAGGAGTCAAACACAGCCTTAAGTAACATGAAATGTCTAATATACCCTGCTATATACTTTCAACCTCACCTAAAATGACAAAACTACCCTAAGTAATATACATATATTCATTTTGTATACTCTTACAGACAGTTTTACTTTCTCTCATCTCCCGCAGTGCCACCGCGGCCACCACCTCTTAGCAGTTAACACCATCAACTATTCTTTTCTCTTCCATCACACATATCAACATACACATATACATTACACACATACATTACACACATATACATTACAATAATTTTCACACAAACCCAACACAGAGCCATGTCCAGTTTCCTTCACTGCCATCTGTTGCACGCCGCTGGGTTCCTCCACCTCCCTCCTCCTATACCACACCCTCAAACAACCCTTCAATTACCACAACCTCACCAGGATCCGGTGACGACTTCGGCCATATCCAGTTTCCTCCACCGCCAAGTTTACCTCCACCTGTCGCGCGCCGCCGTGAGGTGTGACCGAGCTCCATGGTCGTGTCCTCGGGCTTTGCGCCACCGGTTGTCGAATTTTGTGAGGATTAAGAGATTGGGTATGGGGTTGATGATGAGGGCGAAGGTGAATGTGAAGGTGGTCTCGGATTCGGATCTGCTATTGGCTGATTCGTGGTGGTGGTGGAGGTGAAGGTGAAAGTGAGTGGTGGTGGGCCTAAGTTGGGGTAGTTATGGAGGTTGCGGTGGTGGTGACTAATGAGTGGTGGTGACTAATGAGTGGTGGTTGCGGTGGTGACCGATGAGTGGAGAGAGAGAAAGAGGCGGTGGTCGTTGGTGGGTGATGTGGGCGATGGTGGTGTTGGAGCTGGGTAGATAGAAAATTATATACATATGGTTGTATATTCACTTAGGTTAGTTTGGTCATTTTAGGTGGTCAATGGGTAAATATGTATTTTCACCATGGTTGGGGTGTCTTTGTCTAGTTTACCAAACTTATGGGGTGTCATTGTCCGAAAATGACCTAAATTGTATCTGTCTTTTAGGCAAACCTGGGGGTGTCATAGTAATTTACCCTAAAAAAATAAAAAGAATCAAAAATAAAAATATATGAATAATTTTGATACATTTTAAATAATTAAATATAACAATGATTTTGCATATAAAATGCTGAGGAGTAATAGATAGACTTTAGGATTTATTGGTATAGTTGATATAGAATGCTTAGGAGTCTAGTACTTTTAAATAAATTATATTAAAAAAATTAAAATCCATTATAAAAATTAAAAATGATTTGAAACATGAAAATAGTCAATAAGGTATATTTATAAATAAATATACAGATTTATTTATGCTTTTTTTTTTCTTTCTAAAATGGTCTTTAATAAGATTTTATCATTAGGTAAGTTTTTTTTCTTTTAGGGAAGTTATATTTATAAATAAAAAAACTCTTACTAAGTAAGTTATATATTATAAATAAATTAATGTACTGAATTACTAAAATTCAATAATGTACTAAAACACTTTGTACTTTTAATAATAGTATGGACTAATAATAGTATGGATGTAGATATATTATGGTAGTTTGGATGTGCAATTATAAATATTCTAAATTATTATTTGGGATGAATACAGAGATAAATTTTTCTATTGAAGAAACTTAGACATTTCAAAATTATCAACAAAAGAAAATAAAGAAAACACTTAGACATTTCAAGCCATTTGGTGAATCTTTCATTTTATTTATTATTTATTTGTTTTTATTGTTTTTTTTATAGGATAGTTTACAATCTAATGCTATGTATAAAGTGAATGGGGACACAATTATGTTGATTTTTATTCTAAAATGAATGAGTAAGATGGTAATATAGGTCATTTGCATAAATAAATAAATAAAATTTGTTCATTTTTTGACATAAAAAATTGAAAATTAAATTATAAATAGTAGAGAGAAATTCTTTGCTTCCAAAAATATCAAATAAACGTTGATTTTTTTTTTTTTTTTTTATTAATAAAAGGATAAATAAAAGATGCCATAGGCTGTGCTCATTAAAGATGCATAAAGCTTACAATCTTATAGTAATTTACTATGAAAATTTGGCATTAAAGAATTAATATATAAACTTATGATTCTAGTAACCATCTACTCCAAAAGCTTAAGTAGCTTAAGCATATTATTGTGTGCTTGCTCACTCCTTGATGCATTAAACATGTGTAGATTTACAATGTTTCATTCATGTTCTACCGCGATGCATTTCTTGTTGATCTTGTAAACGAAAATGGTGAAAGAGTTCTGAAACTTGACTCAATGGAGAGCAGCAAAATGTGGAAAGGAATTGATACATTGATCTTCAACACATGGCATTGGTGGCTTCACACAGGAAGGAAACAACCGTAAGAATAATAATTCGTTAAACGCCCTTAATTCATAGTATGTTAAAATTCATTTTCTAGCTTCAATTGCTAAATAAAGATATTCTTATTTTCATATCTATTGCAGATGGGATTTGATTGAAGAAGGGAATGCAACATATAAAGATATGAATCGATTGGATGCTTATGAAATAGCATTGAGAACATGGGCCACATTGATAGACTCCTCAGTAGATCCTGCAAAAACCAGTGTCTTCTTCCAAGCCGTTTCCCCTGATCATAACAAGTGAGTCTTACATATATATATATATATATATATATATATATATATATATATATATATATATATTGTGTGTATTTTGTCTTATGAACTATCAAGAGAGCTTGCTCATATGATAAGACTTGCTTTGAATGTAGTGGATTTATAATGTAATTGAAGAATTTCTAAAGTGCTAGGTGAAACGAATGAAAGGAAATTTTCTAATTATATGCATTTGATTAGGATAAGAAATTCGAAAATTATCATTTTATGGTTTGAAATGCATGAAAGAGAAAAAGGGCATTATAGTAAATTATTAAAAGTAACTTTAAAAAATAAAAAATTTCATGAGAAAGTTAGGTAATGTACTAATGAAAAGTTAACTCCCCTCAAAACTTCTACCCAAATTTCAAAGTGTTTTAAAAAAATATTCATTTCCTTTATGTTGTTATTATTTCCATCTAATCGAATGTAGCCTTATAAGTGAATCATTATTCATATATATTCATCCAATACTATTTACCTTTGTAAATTAGTGGAAGTGAGTGGGGTGAGCCGAATGCGAAGAACTGTGGGGGGCAAACGCAGCCACTACTCGCTGCAAAGTACCCGGGAGGTCCACATCCGGCAGAAGTGGTGCTAGAGGACGTGCTGGGTAGCATGTCGAAGCCGGTGTATCTGCTCGATATAACAAGCCTTTCGCAGTTGAGAAAAGATGGGCACCCCTCTGTCTATGGCCATGGAGGGCACAACGATATGGACTGCAGTCACTGGTGTCTAGCTGGTGTCCCAGATACTTGGAATCAACTCTTATATGCAGCTCTCATTCATAATTACTAGATCTTTTTTCACATTATATGCCAAATGGAACAAATGTTCTCATTTGGTGGTCATTTCATGCGAAAAACTAATAAATTTTGTATTTGATGATTGCTTTTTAACATATGCTAATACACCAATAGCATTGGTCATGATGTTTTTCACATTATATATATATATATATATATATATATACCAAATGGAACAATTGTTCTCATTTGGTGGTCATTTTATAAACACAAGAAATTAATAAAATTTATTTTTGATAGTTACTTTTGAATGTTTTTATTTCTTGAATATGTATGTTAAAATATCAATGGACATAGTCCACATGGTACTATCTGCCCCCACACTGACTGCATTCACAGAGGTCATCAATAACACCCTAAATTGTTGCCACAGGAGCAGAATCACTGAATGTGACTAAAGCATGTCTCCAGCCTGGAAACTCTCCAAGGAACGGTTCCTACGGGCGATGCCTTTGGCGTCTGTAAATTCCCCTGGAAACTCTCCTAGGAACGGTTCCTACGGCGATGGGCAACAGCTAGACCAATGGCTGGGGCAACTTTTTTCGAACGCCTGCCTGGTTTGTATGAAACATTGTATGTATTAGTTATTCAAACAGAACTAAGATTCAAAAGAACTACAATAGTATGCAAAAAATAATTAATGTAGACAACCCTAAATAGTTGCAAAGATGCTTAATCGTTGAAAACAAAGTTATTACTAATTGGAACTGATTTTTTAACATCTCCATCAAGACAAGCACGAGTAATATCTTAAAATTAAGTGGAAGGATGAGGAGGGGAGCGGGTCTGCTATTTTTGCACCCATTCTGCCTACCAAAATAGCAACTCGAGAGAGAGAGAGATCTGTTTTGCAGCATTGATTCTCTCCAATATATTGTAGAAGCATAATCATGCATCCAAGATTAATGTAACATAATATAACAAATCTAATTGCCAAGGAGCAATTATTAGGATTCAGTAACCAAACACATTTTGTGGTTAAACCTTACCTATTCTATTTAAAATCATTACTAAACCTCTATCATTTAAAAATTCAAAAACCAAATGCTTGTAGCACAACACAAGTCCTCTGAGTTGAAGTATATACAGATCCTTATCAGTTGGTCAAATTTTGCAAGCACCTAAAAATCCATATTCTAAACACAAGTTTTACATGGCAGAGAATTCAGAAACGCAACTACAGACCATTTGGATCTAAGAGAGACTGAGGCAGTGAAATGCTAAAGATGGGATACTGGAGCATTTTAATATGGGTCAAGTACCAAAACATATTCTATTATGAATATAGTGCAAAACAGTCCGTGTATAGTTTAAAACCGCCCTATACTATTGATTTGGTACAAATAATTCCCTCGAGACTTAAAATGACGGATAATAGTCTCATTATAGTATAATAAATTAATAAATAGAAGTACAAGCCATGTAAAATGACCATTTTGTCCAATTGGTATAGGAGTGAGTTTGTTTTGGACAAAGAATAAAATAAATCTCATTTTGTCCAAGAATGGGATAAAGCTGAACCAAACAACTCCAAAACCGGATATAATAAAACCCAAACCAAACACTCCCAAACTATATAATACACCCTTAACACCCTTAACTTGTGGTGGTAGTTAGTATTATCGGTGGTTGCGGTGCTGGTTCTTTAGCCTCGTCTGAACTCTCTCTCTCTCTAAAAAAAAATTGCAGTAATTTGGTGGTTTTTGGGTTTATATTTATGCGTATATAAATCACCCAAAATGTGTATTTGTAAAATTGAGTATTTATGTAATATTAGGTTTATGGAGTTGAAGATCAAAGAATCAGAAATTGGGTTTGGTTTTGTTTACAGCGGTGAAAAACAAGACTTGGGTTCTCTCTTCTCTCTCTATATATATAATAGACACACAAATTAAAACAGACCCATTACTTCAATTGGATGGTGCTAGAAGGAGAATCGACCGGCAAATATGGAAGTGGCCGGAAAAAATGGTCCCCGAAGAGAGAGCTACATATTTGAAAAATAAAAACATGGACAACTATTGATGAGAGGGAAAACATTTTGCTCATTCATTATTATTGTTTTTATTTTTTTTATTGAGGGTAGTTTAGACATTTCAATTGTTAAATTGACAAAATATCTTTAGCACAATTTGAAAAATATAACGGGGCGGGGGTTGTTTACGCGCATTATGTGGTACGGCAAAATGAAAACAAAAAAGATAAACTGAGATTTTCATATTTAATTTTGTCAAAAAATAGTTGGAAGGACTTATTTATACTTTTTTTAAAAAATTTTACATAATGAAATAAACATTTAAAAAAATGAGGGACTATTTGTAAATATAACTTACATTACAGTTACGCTTAACCTTTTTATTAATTTTCACACCCGATTTCCCAATAACTAAACGAAAAAAGTAATCATATAAAAATCACTGACCTCGAGCTCCTCAATAGAGAGGCCCCTCCTAACCCTGAATTCCATATTGTACTTCAACATTCGTCGACTCTGTACATGAACAATGGGACGAAATGGTACAGCCGTAAATCTAAGGAAAATCTTTGCAGCATTTTGCTGTTTAGTTGTAGATGGATATGAGAAACAAATATTAAACGGTTAGTAAGATGGTTGTAAATGATAATTAATATGCAGAATATAACTAACAAAAACAAAAAGACAGGTTGAATTATACTCCCAACCAAAGTGCATTATTTAAAAGGCTATGGTTTGTTTTTGTTTATGTGTGTTGGGGGTGAGGAACTACTTACAAATCCATCTTCTACCTTTCCGGACTGGTTTATCATCGGAAAAAAGAAGAAGAAAGGGTGTGAAGGAATTAATTTACCTAACACCATTTGAAGAAACCTCGTATGAGAAAACCAAGTTGTCCTCCCTTGACACCGCTGACATTGACCCAGTTTTTGAATCTACCACCAGTGGCTAAAGGCCTGAACTTTCTTCTTCTTTGTGTTGTGCGGAAGCATGGCCCAACAAATAACTAATGATGGTTGTGATCACAAACTAAAAAAAGAATACATTCACAAAATAATAAATAGGAGAAAACTAATATAAAAAAGAAAGTTAAGAATTTACGTGATTCGACAATGTATCTACAAAGATCAATGTACTAATAACAAAACTAGACTCACAAATGAGAAAATATACAAATATTTTCTCATCTCTAAATTAGCTCACTTAAGAGCTCTTGTTTTTCTCACTCTAATGAACTTCTCCTTTGATACTTCAAATGGTTTCTAAGGCTTCTCTATTTATAAGAGAAGCAAGCCTTTCATCGTTGGAGCCAACAAGTGGAGTTAAACATAGAATGTTTTCCTCCATTAAACCATCTCATTTTTTGAGCCATAAAACAAGGATTCCCTGTTTTGAGCCATTAATCAACACTTTGAACCCTAAGTCCTCACTCCTTAGCTCTGGTTTGTTACTCGGGTTTGATCGACCATGCAACGAAACGACTGTCTGAGGCGATAAACAGGTTAAGGAATTTTGCAACAGTGGCCGAGTTATGGAGGGAAAATGAACAGTGAACAAATGAATTCAGATTTTTGAAATGGAAATTTGAATTTGGGTTAGGGATTTTGAAATGTTCGCTTAATTTGAATTAGGACAGAATGTTTGAAAACGTTTGATAGGGTTTCAAAAAAAATTCAAAAAAAAATTGGGTGAAATTTTCAATATTTGGGTTTCACTTTAGTAGGGTTGATTTGGAGGGATAGGGAGAGAAAAGAAAAGAGAGGATAGTGTAAGAGTGTGTTTAGGTAACTTAATTGGAGAGAAAATAGAGAATAGAGAGAGATGGGGAGGCCTATCCCTTATAAGCTTTCTCTCCCATTTTGAGAAGATAGGGAGGGATATTAGTTGTAAATTCTTAATACCAAAAATACCCTTCACAAATCAATATAAAAAAAAAAGTTTTTCCATTTATGTTTTAATTTTGTTTTCATTCATTATTTTTATTTTTTTCTTTTTTCTTTTTTCTTTTCTACTTTTGTTTTTACCTATTGCATTGAACTATCACAAAGAAACATTCCAAATATCCTATGTGAGATTTTGGAAATGATGTGAAGTGGTTATGAAAGGGTAGGATAGTAATTTGATCACTATCCTTTCTTTTCTTATCTCTCCTCTATCTTATCCAAACAACAATAATTATTCTTTCTTTTCTTTTCTTCCCCATCTATATCCAAACACGAATTAAAACTAATATTATCCTTTCTTTTATTTTATTTTCTCTCCTAACTAATACTATACTTTCTTTTCTTTTCTCCCTGTCTATCCAAACATACCCTTATTGTTGCTTGGGTTTCTTTGGCTGAAGCGTGGGTTAGTTAAGGGGTGCGACGTGGCAAAATAATAGCCATGCAAAATTCAACTGGACCAACCGGATTAGTAGTGGATTGGACTGAATCCAAGTCCTATTCTTCCGGATGGCCTAAAGGGATGCAAAAAGGAAAAAGAAACGTAGAGTGAGAGAAGGAAAATGAAGTGTAGAAGAGAGAGTGAGTGTGTTTAGAAGGTCTATATTGTGTCTCTGACTCTCTTGAGCAAAATAAGTTAAAAGCCTTCATTTGCTTTAATCTTCAAACCTCGGAAGCTCCTCCTTCAATGGCGGGTCTTGACCTTCTTCCTTGCTCTTCAATGGAATTCTTAAGACTGATTTTGGAGTGGGATAGTGTTGCTTGGTGTCTTGGACCTGAGATAAGGATGCCAGAAGACTACAGAGAGGTGCTGTGTAATCTAGATAGTTTTACCCCTGTGAAGTGTATACATCTAGACGTCTCCTCTTAGTTTGTGTTTGCCAAATAATAATAATAATAATAATAATAAATAATAAAAACTGTACATAGCATACTAAAATATTAAGTTAGCTTGATTCAGTCCAAGGTATTCTCCGAAAATTTAAAAACTCCATAATAGTTTAAGATTTTGATTAGCTAACAGTTTTATGAAATCTGTCTTATGTAGATTGAAAATAGGTCAACTTCTAGAGAAGTATTTTAGCTCTCATAAACCTGAATCAATAGACTCAAAATTGTTTTTTTGCTTTCATAATTCTTGAAAAGACTTTTCAAAATACTGAACTATACATATCCACCTACAAAGAGCTGTAACTTACTATATCTCCTCAAAACTAGGTGTGTGAACTGTAGCTTAGCCATTGCATATCTATGATGTTTCCTGTGATGTTTCATGTGTACCATACCAAAAATGCTTTAACATACTTTTTGTTACAGACAAAATAAGTAAAGAGGGGCACATAAACGAAAATAAGCATCTCGTGCCCGGTGCACCAGGCCATCACAACCGTCCATATCCGCATATGTTGTGCATGCATGCACGACACGAACGGCTGTGATGTGCCTGGTGCACTGGGCACATTGAATATCTTCTCCTCCGTGTCACTGATAAACAAGGGTTCTGCGGCATCAAGAGATCAATAGCTACAACTATAACAATAAGACCCATACTTGGAAACTTGAACAACTTCCAATCATCAATCATCCATTCGAGCGGGGCTTCAACAGATTCTCAAGGGTAGGAGCAATCCAAACGATCAGAGGATGGTTAGATGAGCATTTCAACTAGAGTTTCAAGCACTAGTTAACAGCCAGGCTGATGCAGGTATTTGATAAAAGAAAATGTGACAATTTTCATATATTTCAACTTTGATAAGCAAGTGTAGTTCAAAAGGGAAAATGCTACATGGCTGTAAATTCTAAAAGGACTCTAAACCTACCTGACGGAAACCACAGTCAACAATTCTGAATAGCAGAAAAATCACGGATATAGTCATTCCATATCTCAGCTGCAATAGTGTCCCGCACATGTGAAGCATTTTCCAGTTGTTCGGTGTCAAAAGAAATGTCCGAAACTTGGGTTTCAGGATGCATCAATGGCTGCTCGATTTCTAGAGGCGGCATGGGATCTTCTAATTGTAGGTCAGCTTCCTGCTCGTGCATTTTAAAAATCCAATCATCTGATTTCTCCCCACGAATGTAATTGTGTAAGGCACATGCTGCTACAACCAACTTCACCTGTGTGGGTAACGGGTAGGGAGGAGCAGACATCAAGATTGGGAAGCGTGCCCTCAAAGCGCCAAAAATACGATTGGTAGCACTGCACAATAATGAGTGACGATGATTAAATAGCTCTTTAGCATCTTGTGGATGGAAACCATCGATTAAGCCATAGGAAACACCATGATATGGAGCAATGAAGCCAGGGATATTTGCATACTTGCCATCCACAAGGTAATATTTACCTGCATCGGGATTGAAATATCTTTTTATCAATAGGCCTAATAACAGAAGGGGAGTTTAACAACAAAGTGACATGATATGAATCGAATCCACTCTCTCTTCCCATACACATATCAATATTCATAAGAAATTCATAACCAGACCCTGCCACGTCTTCCCACCCTTCTGCTTTTAAGAAAGAAAAAAATTCCTCTGTGAAAAATATTGATGAAACATTAATGAGTATAATGAAAACAAGAGCTCTTGCACCCTAAGACAGACCGGAACATTGTGATTTTTAGTGTCCAAAACCTGAACAATTTTTATTTTTTATTTTTTATTTTTTATTTTTTTGGGAAGAAACATATCACACCCCCACTTAGCCCCTTATGTGGGGACTTGAACCCTTGCGTCTACTTTGGAAGAGGAAGTGCCACTAGGCTAAAGCCCTTGGTGGTAAACCTATACAATGAATCATGAGTTTCTTGTAAAAGATAGATGATACCTTCAGGGACCTGCAGTTTGTTGCGCCTTGTGAGAGCTGAATTTAGAACTCGCATATCTGCTGCTGAGCCTTCCCAACCAGCTAAAACATAATGGAATTTCAAATCAAATGAGCAGGCTGCCAGAACATTTTGCGAAAGAAAACCATTTTTATTACGGAAAGGTCCTTGCTCATCTACGCCCACCATCACTGGGAAATGTATGCCATCAACTGCTCCCACGCAATCCTGATGAGAAAAATAAAAAAATGCTACTTAAATTTCATTTCAGAATGATAATAAAAATTTATTGAAGTGTATTGGTGTTTGATTACTTTAAAATAAGGATAAAATCTTGGATCATCTCGGATTTCTGCAGGAATTTCAGACCCTGGAGGCTGAAAGAAATCTAATGAAATAGCCATAATTGCATTCAGAACATTGTTGAAATGACGACTAATAGTTTCGCCTGAGTATCTGAATAGCTCTTGGACTGCTCGAGTTCGTAGATTATGGCCTACAATGAACATGAATATTGCTAATTGCTCCTCAATCTTGATTCGATTTGTGTGACGTAGCAAGCCCCTGGCTTGTAAAATGTCACACAACTTATAAAACACATGCTTATCCATGCGAAAGTTGTCCAAACAACGTTCATTCTGGCCATTGAGAACCTCATCCACAAATTTTGTACCATTAGATGCTAAAGTATGATTCATTTCTTTAGGTATATAACTTTCAAAAACACCATCCTTTTCATCATCAGAGCTCTCCATAGCAAAGAAATCCCCTGCACTGTATACATAAACAGAATATCAAGGCACATAAGACATATTACATAACATAAGCATAATTGCTTTTCCAATTTCCCAAGGAAAAAAAAAAAAAAAAAGGAATTCATTCTTCTTTTCTTTTTTCATGGCAAGAAACACACTCACACACACCCACATGCCCCTATGGGGATTTGAACCATCGACCTTCTACTTTGGAAGGTGAAGAAGTACCATTAGGCTACACAGCCTCCAGTGAAAGGAATTCATTCTGAGGCACAAAAACGGAACAAGTACAACACAATACGAATGCAGAGATACGGTAAATCTCAACCAGGAAAAAAAAAAAAAAAAATTGATACGGACACAGCAAGGATAAAATATAATAATAATATAATTATATGTTAAAAAAATTATTTTTGCTTATTTTATCCACAATATCATGAATGTAATCACTAATTTGGGGCTTACGGTGGGATGAGTGTTGTTTTTGTTATTTTTAAACTTTTTTTTCTTCTTACAACTAGTAATATGTTTTAAAATGCATGAGAACCCTTTTTATTTTTTTTTAATAATTGCAAAACTTCTCAATCGTGTCACCAAAATGTCTCAAACGTCTTGTATTACATTTGGAAAATTTTCTGTTTTCAGAAGGAAAATGGCAATTATGTAACATGTTTGGAAGGGCATGGTTATATTTGTGTCAGCAAAAATTCCTAAAACAATAAAAATATAAATATAAATGAGAGAGAGAGAGAATTTGGGTTCTTTAAAAGCTGAAATGAACCAAAAACGGCCATCTTTTCTATTATTTTCAAAATAACACTAATTAGGCCTTAATATTACTAAAGAAACCCTTATGTATTAAAACTCGTCTTTTGGTTAACTATATTGGATTCAATTTAACTAATCAATAAATCTATAAAACACCAGCAGTCAGAGTTGAAAAGTTCAATCATTGCAAACAGGATGCTGGTAAAAAAGTCATTGGACCAGAGATTTCTGGAACCCTTTCTCTAGTCAAGGGAAGAGCTGACTTCCAACAGTGCAAGTGAAGATCCTTACTCACTCGAAAGCTAACTTCTACAAGGATCACTAATGAAATACCGCATTTAGAAGAACATTTACTCCGCAATTTAGACAAAAATGGAATTGTGATGCTGGGATCTTGGGTAGAGACGGGGGATATTTTAGTAGGTAAATTAACGCCCCAAATGGTGAAAGAATCGTCGTACGCCCCGAAAGATAGATTATTACGAGCCATACTTGGCATTCAGATATCTACTTCGAAGGAAACTTGTTTTAAACTACCGATAGCGGGGTAGGGGTCAACTTATTGATGTGAGATGGATCCAGAAAGGAATGAAGGAAGGAGGAGGAGGAGGAGAGGAGGAGGGAGGGAGGGAGGGGGGGGGGGGGGGGGGGGGGGCGGGGGTGTGGGGGGTGGGGTTGTTCCAGTTATAATCCAGAAACGATTCGTCTATAAAGTAGGCGATTAAGTAACTGGAAGACTTGGAAATAAAGGTATCATTTCAAAAAACTTCTTTTGTCTTGAAAAGCACACATTTTCTGCCTACTTGAACCATATATGAAAGTACTAAATTCTTGAAAATCTCAATGTCAAACATTGCGTATCTCTTAGTTCCTAAATGGTTTAACACAAAAGATATAAAAATAAAAATTACAAGCCCCAATATGTTGATTCAAAAAGCAATGATGTCATTCTTCACTCCCCTGTTCTTCCGTGTGCATCCACTGTTGAAGTTGATTAACTGAACCCCGGTAAAAGATTTAAAGTTCAACGAGTCGTGTTAAGAATTCATTGGGTATCTATCCAATCACCAACATAGACACAGAACAAACCCAACAATAAGCTTTAGCTATCCCAACCCTTTTGAACGCTTTCTAATACATTTTTACTTATCAAAAAAACAAAAAACCTCCAGCTATCCCAGGCCACTGGGCAGTGCAGCAGAAAATGATCCATTGTCTCCTCATCTCTCTTGCACATACAGCACCAATTGAAAACCACATGCCTTCTCCTTCTCAGGTGATCCAGAGTCAGAATCCTCCCCAGAACTGTTGTCCACACAAAAAAGCCACCTTGAGGGGGGCCTTAGAAAACCAAACAGCCTTCCATGGGAAAGCAGGCCCTATAGCATCTGAAAGGCACCTACAGAGAGAGCAAACATCAAAGCGCCCCTTAGGAGAGGGAACCAATACCCGAGAATCCAGCCCACAGGCCACAACATCCAGGCGATACAGCAGCTCCAAGAACCCAATGGCATTGTCCAACTCCCAATCCTGAAAATGCCCCAAGAATCGAACATCCCAAGTCGTCCTCCAGTTATCAAGCCAATAACAGTTGGCCACCAAGGCGTGTCTATCCAAGGCAATCCTGAAAAGTCTAGCATATGTGCAAGCCAAAGAACGGTCACCACGCCAAATGTCCTTCCAGAATCAGATTCCCCTCCCATCCCGGACTCTGAATCTGATGTGTTTAGAGAGTCCACCCCACCCCTTCTGGATGAACTTCAAAACACCAATACCACCTAGGATCCTCACCTCAAGAGAGCACCAACCTCCTCTCTCCTCTCCAAAGTCTTTGCCTCTCCATGCCAAACCTCCACAACCACTTACCCAGAAGGGTCTTGTTGAAAGGCTCCAGTCTCCTAATCCCTGGGCCTCCCAACCAGATCAATCTACAAACCTGCTCCCAACAAACCAAATGGTACTTGAATTACTCCCCTGTACCACCCCAAAGGAAATTCCACTGAAACTTCTCAATCCTCCTAGCCATTGGGGAATGTATCATGTTAAAATTCCCCCACTTATAATTTTGCAATCAATTATAAGATAAATGAAGGTAGACATATGTTAAAGCCAACTACTAGTTGTGAGGTTAAAGAATCAAAAATTGATGGAGCGGAAGCTAAGAACGTTCAATAATGAACAAAAGAACAACTTTGAATTGGTGATTCTCTTTGCAGTACATGTATTTATAACGAAAAAAAAAAAACATTACTTATAAGGAAACCTTAGAACACAAGACAACCTAATATCAAAAGGAAACTTAAACTAAAAATAAGCCTAATTTTAATTTCTCCAAAAAATTTACAAAAAAAAATAGAATAAGAAACCTATTCACTAAAAACTAATAAATTCCAAAATTAATAATAATCCGACTTCGTTTAGGCCACGAAAAAAAACTCCCGAAAAATTCCACAATCTTCCTATAGGAGTGAAAAACACTATTTCGGGGCTTTAAACGACTTAATTTGACTTAGTGGGTGATGGAGAATATTATTATAGGAACCCTTAAATCACTCCTTAGTGGGTTTTGTTTATTGGGTCGGTTCCAATCAAAAATGGTTTTCTTCGAGTCAAAACAGGTTCGTCGAAAATTCTGTCCTACATCAAAAACATAATTAAATTTTTACGAGGGAATAAAACAATATCTTCCACAACTAAAAGTTAAGATTCTTTCCTTGCTCAAAAGCAAAATCATTTCATACAGTTCTGATTAAATTGGTTCAGTTTCAAACTCACTTGTGATAGTGATGTGTGCGCGAGAGAGAAAGAAAAGGAGAGAGAAACGAGGGGGGGGGGGGGGGTCTTTAATGTCAAAACTTGGTGTTTCAGAACTGCCAAGGGCTTATATCATCACCATTGTTGTGCACTGTGACTTATATCATCTCTCAGGGGTCGTATGGTCTTTTGCCATCTTGTGATACAATGTCACAATGGTTTAAGATAGTACATTGCAGCCATTCAGAATGTTAAAGCCTGTTCTAATTGAGGTTCAACAAATGAAAATTGGCTACAGGGTTATCCAAGGGTACTATGGTCATTTCACAATTGTATTATATGTTTATACATTTGTTCATATAGCTGCATTGCATTGAAAAGCTGTGAATTGAGCTGCATTGTGAATTACACAGCCTCAGCAACAGATTGATGCTGAGAATGACAAGTGGTTGTTTCAAGGATATTTTAGTCTTTCTACTTGAAGCTCATGTGTGTGACACGTTGTTGTGGTCCTAGAGTGAGAAGTATACACTACATTGCATTTCCTAATCACCAAGTCTTGGATAAGAATGCTATTACAGCCTTGATATTGTGAGTTGTAATTTCTGGTATGCTAGAGGACAAAATTGCTAAATTGGCAAGGGCATTGTGGTCTATTCACACACAGAATTTCAGAATATTCTCTGGCCAATGATTGGTTCCGGGTGCCATGTGTATATCCTTCTTGTAGTAGGACTTGCATTGTATGCGCTTGAGTATATATATACTATTATAGTTATTCTGCAGGAACAAGCCTCTTGAAAAACCCTAATTGTAACCTGCATTGAACCTATCTCGAGAGTTTCATATGAACCATTATTTCTAAGGTCCTTAATAATGATCTGAACCTGAAATCTTTATACAAATGTCACTGAATTGATCATTGTTGTTGTGTTCATCATTAAGTCCATTTGATGTCATGTTTTGCTGGTGCAAGGGCTTGTTTGAAGGTTCACTTTGAGCATGAGGTTGCTGTAGTGCTAAGTCAAGGTTGATACAGGTATAATTTGGTCATTCACATTTGCAGAACACTTGTTCTTGGGGTTTACTTTGCTGCGAATGATTTTTGTATCTCAGACCTGTGATTTGAGCTATTTTCTGGTTTAGCCTTGTGATTCATATATAGATTGATTATATTTTACTATACAATGTTTGATCTACATGCTAGTAAGTTTATTTTGATGAATCAATGCTATTGAAGTTGGTTTTTGGACAGAACTTTGGTCACCTTCGGTTTTGACCTACCAAAACCCTTGCTCTTCATTAGTGAAGCTGTTGTCAAGGCCTTATTGAAGTTGTATTGTGAATCACATGCTATACTTATCTTGTTTATCATCTGAGTATGTTTGTAATGTAATATAAGGTTGTGGGATTAATCTCGGAATTTTGGGGACACGAATTTCTATTTTTACCCCTCAAACCCTAGTTTCAGCAGAAGGTGTTCTAGAGGCTACAGATTGGTGTTTTGAGTTGCACAACCACTCTTATCTTTTGTGTATGATTGAATATTGTTGATATTCACACTTCTTATTGTATTTGGTGAGTAAAAGGAGGCAAACAAACACACACGCACAAATCAAGGGTAAACAGAAGTCATTTATGGATCCGCAATGCTGATTCACACAGGGCATTATTTGCACTTATTTAGCAAAGTAGGGCTTTCATTGTAATTAACATATTCTTGGACTGGAAGTTCAAATTAATTAATGGGTTTGGGTTAAATGTGATTGGGTTTTTTGAAATTTAACCTACTTGTAACCATAACTTACTTACACTAATAGTATAAGTTCATGAGTAATTTTTTTACTTAAAAAATTAAATTAAAAAAAAAAAAAAAAAAGTTCATGAGTAATTTTAATGTTATTTATCGTTATAAACAAATATGAGTAGTTATTAACAAGACTTGTCAAAAAAAAAAATTACTAATAATAACAAGTATAATATACAAATTAGTAGCATTTTGATGTTAATATTAATACTAAGAAGGCTGGTGCATTGGTCTTGAACAACCAGGTTTGAAAGCAGAAAATTATAGGGGCTTCCAAATACTTCCTTTCAAAAAATGTAGTACGTAGTCTTTGCTATAAAGGCATTCAAGCTCGTGGTGAGAGGATCAAGAAGGAGCATTTCAACGATTCGTTGAATCTTATAAGGAGAAGGGCTCGCCAACCTCTTCCCTAGCGAAAAAGTGAAAAATTACCTTGGAGGCTGGAATACATATAGGCCTTATGCCACACTAGCTCCCCCTTCGTCATAAGGCGCGGAATTAGATAAGAGGAATCTCTATTGGAACTAGTTCCTTAGATTTCGCACACAAGATATCCAGATTACTCTTTGCTTCCTACTCTTCCACATCACAAGATTTCCACCTAAAAATGCACAATAGAGAAGAATATGGCACAAAATCCACACTCAATCACATATCTAGGGTACAAGAAAATGAGACCATAGAAACCTAGATTTGATTTTAAATGTGGCTCAAAATCATGTCTTAATCTTATTTGTCAAAACTAGGGTTTCAAACTAAAGTTTTTACAATAATTCTCGACAACTAGAATTTTTACAAAACAATGGGTCGATTGGTTGAATGATGTCCAGGACGCCTCTATTTATAGGTAGATCGATCGAAAGCTTTTCCAAAATTTCAATTTATAATCCAGTGTGCCTCAATCGATTGAGAAACCTCTGGTAGGTGTTTTGGTAACTCTCTCAAATCAGATTTCTAATGGAATTCTATTTATCATGTGTCTCCTATATTGACTATAAATATGGAGTTATAAATGATAATCTACGTCTCTAAGCAAACTAGAGAGAGAATCATATTTTAGAGAGAGAAAATCCATGTTCCTCAATCCTAGTGTGTCCAATAGATTGAACAATATACGAGATTGAGTGATCAACAAGAAGGAAATCATCATATAACCATTGGAGAGCAATTCACCAAATCAATATCAGAGTAGAAGGATTTAACAACATATGGAGAAGTATAATATGTTGACAGAGTGGACTAAAGGGTCTACAGACTCAAGTGGAGAGTTTGTTCTTGTTATGACAAACGCAGCAAACCAAGAACATAACAAGAATCACAACAGAAAAGTAGACACACCACACACAAAGAACACAAAGATTTACCTGGTTTGGCTCAAGTCTAAGCCTACAACCACGGTGAAGATTCGGCAAAAGATTTTACTATGCAGAAGGAGATTATAACTTTCAGTTCCCAAACCCTAGCTCTTGCTCTCACTCTCATTCTACAACTTTCAATGTTCTCTTGTTCTCCCACTCGAAGCCCTAAACGCCCTTGTATACCGGGCTATAAGAGAGTACTAAATAAGGTCCAAGACCCACAAGCAAAAAAAAAAACAGTTCAAAAAATCTTTCCAAGCCCACCGAAACAAATTCAGGCTACAAGCCTACAACATCACAATTATATTCTATGTCAAGAGGTAACTAGAGGTTCTAGGTTGTGGGAGCTATTAACCTAGATGCTAAGAAGCACGGAAACGGATACGGGACACAGATACGACAAGACACGGATACGGCGACACGGCAAATCCTAAAAAATTAGGACACGGACATGGCGGGACACGACAAATAAGAAACATATTTTCTATATATATGATGTTGTACTTTAATAAATTAAGAGTAATATTATTTTTTACAATCTCATAATGAAAAAAAAAATGTGTTTTGCTGGAAATAAGAAAGAATGATAGAAAGAGGGTTAAGAAAAAAAGAAAAAGGAGAGAGACAAAGGCTATTAGGATTTTGTTATAAAAGAATTAGGCCTTGGTTATAAATAAAGCTAAGAATCCATATAAAAGAAAAAAAGAACAAGAAGAAAAGGAGGAGGACGAAGAATAAGAGAGAAAAGGGGAGAAATAGCTAGAGAGACCATTCACAGGTAGCGAAGCTTGGTTGGTGGGACAACAAGAGAGTCAAAGATGATCGTGCAAGGGTTCGAACCTTTGACCTAAAATTTAAGAATAAATATCTAATTCTTTGAATATAAAATTGTTTTATGAAACAAGAAGTTTGTAATTAATTATGTAATTAAACAACTCCTAATATTTACACTTCACCTCAACATTGTTCAAAAACTTTCTTTAAAATCCCCAAAGAGTGGGACACGCGTGTCGGACACGTATCCATGGCGTGTCGGATACGTATCCATGGCGTCTCGGAAGCGTATCCACGGTGTGTCCAGATAGTCAAAATAGTATAAAATATTCGGACACGTGTTTTGGTGTGTCTAACACGTGTTGACGTGTCCGGAGCGTGTTGACGTGTCCGGCGCGTGTCGATGTCCGGCGCGTGTCGATGTCCGATACGGATTCTTTGCCCTTTTAGGAGTGTCCGTTCTTCCTAGCCTAGATTGTTCATGGCTGAATTAGGTCCTCTAATTATTCCTTGTTTAGGGTTTTTCACATAAAAAATCTTTTCTATGTACTCTCTATCCATTTTGTATGGTTGCATGATTGTGTGGATAAAAAATTAGCTACAAGATAACTAGACTAACTAAAATTTCCAATAGTTCATAAGATAGTGGAAATATAAATAAATATCCATTAGACCTATTCACCATCTAGGTCTAATTTACTTATCGTACTCAATCCTAATTAGATCCCAGGGTAACGATCCATAATCTAACAAAGTGCACCCTCCAGCCGTATCTCCCTTGTCCCTCCCTCTTTGGTGTGCCTTTGTTAAGTGCACCATTGGTGCAATATCACATAAGTACTCTTGGGGTCTATTAAATTCGCCATGCCTTCATGCACCAAAGTGGCTATCTTCACATGGACATCTGTGTTGGGGAAGATTTTGACCCACGAGAATCTTTGGAGGAGGAGACAAGTTGTGGTCAACTTTTGTAGCATGCGCTTGAGAAATGAGGCGACAGTTGATCATCTTCTTTTGCATTGCCCGGGGATTGTTGGGTTTTGATACTGACTTTGTTCGGGGTTCAATGGGTTATGCCCAGGCCTTCCAAAGGCTTGGAGAGGATCTATAGTGGGGCCCAAGTTTGTGAAGGGTCACTCCTTTGTGCATCTGATGGTGTTTATGGCTTGAAAGAAATAGGAGATCTTTTGAAGGGAAGACGACCCCTATTGGCATGCTGAAGTTCTCCATTATTAACACTCTTTTCTGTTAGGTTCTAGCGAAAATTTGTGAAAAAAAAATGGATGAAATAGTTGATTTTTTTGGATTCCTTGAGAATTTAGAGGCCCTATCTGGCCTTGTGTAGTTCATGAGGGATGCGCTTCTTAATACAACTTTACTTATCAAATAAAATAAAATAAAAGTTGATAGGTTTGCACACCCTTCTCTCAATGCTTACTTTCTCTTCTATATAGCCGGTGCTCTTCACCAACTACTATATTATTGAGCCCCACCCCATCATTTACATTGCCCATCTTCACTTACTGGTTTTGTTTCAATCGCTAAATGTCCTGCATTCCTTCACTTCCAAACTCCAAAGAACCATAAAATAAGTGGAATTCCACAACATGGTCAAAAATCTCAGCTAAATATCAGTAAGCCGTGGTTAATTTGTTATCAATTGATATAAAGTGGTTAAATCTCAGCTAAAAATAAACATAAAATTCATTAAAAATGAAATGCATGGGAGTAGTAAAACATGCAATATGCAGAGAAAAGCATTAGCCTATGATGTTAAAAAAAATAAAAATAAAAATAAATAAATAAAGATGAAAGAGAATCTGACCCAAAATTGAATGAGAAACCACATACCAAAGCAGCGATTTGCATCAAAAGAAGCCACGAAAGCAGTGCCCTCGTAAGGGTCACCAGTAAACACTCATAGCCTGACTTCAGGAGCTGCCAAACAATGAATTATCATGCTGAAATAACAGCCCAAATTCAGATTCAAAAAGAAAAATCAAATGGGTTTATGTGAAAACAAGGAAAATACGATTAACTAATAGAAACTTGGACGTCACTTATCAGAGAGCACATATATACACACAGACACATAAATATAGAGAGAGAGCTTGAGGGTAGTGTAAGAATTAATGTGAATAATTGTTTATCCTCACCTGGGCTTCAGCCTGAAAATCAGTTTGTGTCGAGGAAGAGAGAGAACGAGATGGAAGAAGATAGGAAGACGAAAGCCAAGGATTTTTGGAGATAGAGAGACACTGTAGCCAGATGAAGACAGACGATCTGAGAGTGACACAGAGAGACCTAGACTGTTAAGACCAGGGATATTTAATTAATATAATAATAAAAATTCATTAAAACACATCAAACTAAATACAAATGTTATTTGTTGGTTTCAATCAATCAATGAGCTTATTAATATTCCATAACTAAATACAAATGTTAGCAATTTGTTGATTCCAATTAAACTAATGAACTTATTAAATATAATTGAGCAATAATACATATTATGACACTCTCACATAGGTTATAGACAAATTTAAATAAAAGACAAATGGTAAAATAAATTTTTCTTTTGAAAAAGCTAAAAAAAAATAAGACAACAGCTCTTATCAATCCTAAATGAAATGATATCCTTTTTAGTTAAATCAAATCATTAATTATGGCAAGTACAAGCCAAAAGTTAGACATATAGTGTACATTTTACAAATGTTGAATTAAGTTTTAGATGGATTTCACTAAATTTTGTTTCATGGGTGGTCAAACTTCAAGGGAATAGTCCAATTAACAAGGCTATGTATATCCCATGAAGCTATTCCTTAATTATACACTGCATGTGTGGGATAGTTGAAGTCTAATGATAGTGTTGTAGGCCGGCCTTGAAATTCTCAAAATTTTGAGAGGCCCTAGGCAAACTTTCAAATGCGAGTGCCAAAAATACATTACACAAATTTATGTTTATTTTTACTAATGTCTGCACTTTATATCAATTGATAACAAATTAACCACGGCTTAATTGATAACAAATTAACCAACAGGGCCGCCCTGAGATTTCAAATATTTTGAGAGGCCCTAGGCGAACTTTCAAATGTGAGGCCCTTAAGTTTCACACGCGCAAAAAAAATTATAAGAGTGCGGAATTTTCACACGTTGTTTTCAAATTCTATAGCGAATATAATTGTGCGCCTGTGCATTGTGCATAAGACAACTAACTAATAACTATAAATATATCACCACCAACAAATAATTGCGCGTCTATATAGTCTGCATAAGACAACTAACTAATAACTATAAATCTATCACCACCAATAAATAATTGTGCGTCTGTGTAGTGTACTTAAGACAACTACCTAGTAACTATAAATTTTTATCACCACAATAAATAATTGCGCACCTGTGCAGTTTGCACAAGACAACTAACTAATAACTATAAATCTGTCACCACCAATAAATAATTGTGTGCCTGTGCAGTGTGCATAAGACAAGTAACTAATAATAATAAATCTATCAATTAAAGAGTGAAATTTTCACAGGCATAAAAATTATAAGAATGTTGAATTTTCATTAATATGAGATGATAAGAATATAAAATATATTAATGTTGAAAAAACACAAAAGAACACCCGGTCTTGGCGCTTTAATAAGAGCACGATCCAGTTTACATCAAAAAATTAAAATGAAATATTCAACACAACTTAGTTACAAAAATCAAAATTCAGCTTTAATTCAAAGTAAATGTTCAAGGCAAATAACCTCACGAGATCCTAAGAAGAGTGTCCTCAACATGCAATGATTTGATTCAAGTTCAAGGCAAATAACCTTACGAGATCCTAAGAAGAGTGTCCTGCTAGCATGTGAAAGAAGATCACAATTGACATAAAGCGGATGGAGAATCAAACGGAAACAATAATAACTAAGCATTGCCGATCATACAATAAATATAATATAAAAAAAAATATCTAAAATCAAGCAGTTTGGTCGAATGATCTCCTGGCTGGAGTTTGCACTGGAGCTTTGTGTGTGTTTTTTGGAAGCCAATTACCCCTTTCTTGATTTCAGGATGAAGAATCAACTTTAGTAGCAGTGATTGATTGATCACTGCTACAGAAAACCTACCATTAACTTTTGTTTTGTTAAAGCCTGCTCTTGATTTCCATGTGTTTGTACATTCTGATGGCAAGTGCTTTGAGCCTTTAACAGTATTATAAACTGAAATTCTAGCTGAGCCAACTTCAAACAACATCAATAATGGTGGTATGTATCTTCATACAAAAATAAAATAAAAAATTTAAAAAATAAAAACCCTCAATTTGGCACTTTTAAGTATAATTTAGAGATCGAAAAAGTTAATTATTACCTCAGGTCCTCAACCCACTAGAAGGGATCCTTAATTTTCGTAGGATTGAATGTGAAAATGTAAAAAATTATGAGGAAAAGGGGTATGGTTGCTGCTGTTGTGAGACTGGAGTGGACTTAGGGAGAGGAAAAAAGAAAAAGATTGATTCATGCAAAAGGAGAGAGAAGAGAGAGATTGGATGAACATACCTTGTCACGGTGTCACCTGAGCCTGAGGCGATAGCGGAGGCTGCAGAGTGTCACTTGGGGCAAGTCCTGCGGAGTGTCGACGCAGATTGTATCGTCTAAAAAACTTGCCCTAACTCCAAAAAAAAAAAAAAATTTCCCATCCCGTCTAAAATTTGAGGCCCAAGCCGACCAAGACTTGCCCCAACTTAATAATAATAATTATTATTATTATTCATTTTATTTTAATTTTTTTTTTTTTCATCCCCTGTTGGCCTCAAAATTTGAGGCCCAAGGCAACCGCCTTGGTCGCCTTGGCGCGAGTCTGCCCTGCTAACCAAGTTCGTTGAGGGTCACGTCTTTGTGTGTCTATGGTGATTATGACTTTTAAAAAATAGGAGATCTTTTGAAGGGAAGAAGACCCTTGTTGGCGCGTTGAAGTTCTCAACACTCTTTTATGTTAGATTCTAGGGAAAATTTGTAAAAAAAAAAGGGATGAAATAGTTGATTTTCTTGGATTCCTTAAGAGTTTTGAGGCCCTATATGGCTTTGTGTACTTCATAAGGGATGCTTTTCTTAATACAACTTTACTTATCAAATAAATTAAAAAATCTAGGGATGTGCGTCTTCATACCCTTCTTTCAATGCTTACTTTCTCTTCTATATAGCTTGTGCTCTTTGGTGTGTGTGAATTTCTTCAATAATAAAATACCACTCGCAATATAATGAATCATTTGCAAGATATGGCTACTTAGAGAGTGTCGAACCTCAAGGACTATAGTGGATTATCAAGTGTTCAATTAATATTATTTTGATTTAGAGAGAAAGATTGTTTGTGTTGTGTGTCACTAGCATAAATAAAATTAAACTAAATAAAGGAATGAGATCAGAGAAAGAAAAACTTAAGGATTGACTTCAACACGAACCTCATACTATGGTCAACTGTTCAACCTTGTGATTTCAACACTTATGTATCATATGGAATTAAACTCAATAACATTCAGATTTAAAGAAAGATGTTTCATGAATTTCAATTAATAATAACCTAATTTCAATTAATAGTAACCTATCTTCGGTTGACACGAATTATCTACTTACCTACTTCTAACTAATGTTGTAATATAACTTGTCTTCCCTAGGCATAGACTATGAAAACATTCATTCATGAAAAACATTTGAACACCATTGCATGATCTATATTCTTATTGTCCGAGAAGCCCTTGGCCGCCAATCTCGTACACTAAGAATAGGTTGAATATAATTAATGAACAATTAAATTTAAGACAAGGTATTAATCATTCAAAAACTATATACTTCATTAGAACCCAATTGATATAAGTCAATTACTTATAATCATGCAATCAAAATACATAAGCAGTTAAATTCCCAAAGTATAGAACAATCAAACCATAATTTTCGAATTTGGGTTACATCAATGCCCTAAAAGGAGATTTAGCTACTCATAACGACGCAAGATATCATCTGTGTTGTTATGGTCTTCATTATCATGGACTGCACTTCTCTTCTGAGGATCTTCACCTTCAATGCTTTAGAACAACTTCCAAAAACCCTAAAAGTTGCCACTAGATCTAAAATAAAGAAAACTAAAACCAAAGAACAAGAGAGATTTTATGTGGCCTTATGCATCCTTTTATAGAAGCAACTGACTTCTAATAAGGATTGCATGGGCTTTAGGTCTTCTAGGGTCATCTGGCCCCATCTAGAATAAAATAGGACTTAATTAGAATAAATCCTGCAACTTAGAAATCTGACTTAACAGCAAAAGTTCGAGCAGAGAAGCTTCTACTCGAGCTTTTTGGCATGTGCTCAAGCCTTTTGACTTATGCTCGAGCAGGAATTCTATACTTAACCAATTTTCTTCAAATAAAGAAAACTAAAACCAAAGAACAAGAGAGATTTTATGTGGCCTTATGCATCCTTTTATAGAAGCAACTGACTTCTAATAAGGATTGCATGGGCTTTAGGTCTTCTAGGGTCATCTGGCCCCATCTAGAATAAAATAGGACTGAATTAGAATAAATCCTGCAACTTAGAAATCTGACTTAACAGCAAAAGTTCGAGCAGAGAAGCTTCTACTCAAGCTTTTTGGCATGTGCTCAAGCCTTTTGACTTATGCTCGAGCAGGAATTCTATACTTAGCCAATTTTCTTCAAATCTTTTCCGAAACGTCTTTTTCATCAACACTTAGAATATTTTGGGATAATTTCTTCATGGTGCTAGATCATTTTGCTTAGGTGCTCGAGCCTTGGGACTTCTGCTCGAGTTTCTTGGATTATGCTCGAACCTTTTGGTCTCTACTTAAGGTCTGGCAACATGGAACTTCTGAAGCGTCTTTTCATATTCCGAGGCAATTAAGGGCTCGAGCACCTTGCGTCTTTGCTTGAGCAAAAAGATCTCTACTCGAGCCTTTTGGCCTTGGTTGCTTTTCTTGCTTTAGTTGACTTTGTGCTTAAGCCAAGGAACTTGTGCTCGAGCTTTGGCACTTGAACTTCTCTAAAATCACCATTTTGACTCCAAGCTTATTTCAGATGATCGGCAACGACTCTATAAGCTTCAATATCAGTATTTTCATCATAAAATCCCAGTTTTAACCATTTATTTGGGAAAGTACCTAGAAATACAAAGTAAACTCAAATCAGTCTAAAAATGGATAAAAGTACTACTTAAAGTCTTAACATACGCACTTTTAGGGGCTCGAATATGCAATATTCAGCGTTCATCACACCCCCAAACTTATATATTGCTAGTCTCTTAACAATACAGAACTAAAAAGCCGTTTTCGTGGAAATCACGGTTGCATTTAGCCTATGTAACAAGCCTTTTAACCCCTAGGTTACCTCTAGTGGACGAGTTGTAGTCTCGTGAGGGTTTCTAGTGATGGTACCCACAAACATCTCAAATCAGTATCTTATTTCCACAATAAGCTCATTCAAATCTGTTTTCACATCATAATGAACTAGTAATGCATCAATCAGTCAAATACAACAAGTATAAAGAACTATATTACTCAGGAAAATTCTCAAACTCTCAATATCATATCAGCAACCATGGTCCCCACATGTCAGTTTAATCACATATTCAACAATCCCAATCCCCAAAATCCTTTTTAGAAGTGAACACACAGTTTTAAATATGTGACTTACTATCCATAATCATATATGTTCTATGCTATCCCTCAATTCACAAGTAAACCTTTCAAATCCCGATCCCCAATGTATTTTTTCTAATTTTTACAGGTATGCATTTATTTCATTCATCACTCATTTTTTTCAACTAAACATGGTACTGTGCAATGCTCGGATCTCTTAAACTCTTTAAATCACTTGTATAACAAGTTTTTAGCCAATGACTCCCAAACCAGATAGTTTTAGGGTATTAGGTGTTAAAACACCCCTAAGGACTTAATTGTTCAAGCAATATAGGCTACAGACTCAAACTTGACCCTTTGTTTCTTTTTATTTTGTCTCTTTCACTTTTCTATGTAAGTCCTCAATGCTTAATGAGGCAAGAGTCCCAATTACTCAGTGAAAGAGCTCTTTTCATTTTTAATCCAAACATACCATTTTTTATACCTCGGTTCTCAAAATTATCAAATTCACCTATTCATCTCAATTTAACACAAAACAAAATAAGATTTCAGTTTATACCGCATAGAATGCATGCAAGTGTGAACATGTGCAAAGTGAAATATTCTAAGAATCAAAATCATCAAATTGCAATTATCCTGACAAAGTGGGCCACAGGCCACCAACTTATATAAAAAAAATAAAAAATAAATAAAAAATTCTCATTCAACATGAATTCGGTATACGGTCTTTAACTAATATCATATTACATATGGACATCATAACATAATAACAGATTCAAACTCATACTTAAACAGTTAAAATTCATCCACTTATGCATAACATATCAACAACAAATTTTAGAAGGACACCACCTTACCCCCAAACCTATTGTGCACATTGTCCTCAATGTGGGAAAACAAATGTAGAGTTAGAAAGATATTACCATAGTACGCAAAACCAGTAAAGATTACGCAATTACAGCTCAAAAGGGCAAAATAGGAATATCACCCCTAAACTTGGTCTATAACCCGTGGCAAAATAATCACACTCCACAACACATATCAGGGTATCAAGTATATAGAGTAAAATAGATATATATATCATTAAACACAATCAAATATGACAATTCGACACACACAAGGGAAAAATAGGCAAAAAATATGTATATATATATGGCAAAATTAGTACAATGCTTCAGAATAAGACTTAGGGCAGGAATACAGCAGATAAAAGCAAAATACAATAAAATCAACTGTAATACCCCCGGATTTCCGGATGCGGGTTGGCCAGGCCCACGCCTGATAATCCAAGGATATCAAATCAATTAGCAATAATCGAACACAGAATACAAATAAGAAAACAAGAATAAATAAATTGCTGAAAAGAAACTAGAATAATAATCCAAAAACCTCAGAATAAAATTTAATTAACAAAGAATGATTCTGATACATCCTACTTCTCCATTTCTATTACAACTCGGGAATCCATCCAGTGGACCCCTAAAATACCTCACTGAACTCAAAAGATTGGAAACGAAACCCAAGTCTAAAATATGAAATAAAACCCTGGTCATCGGTGGAGTGAATAACTGTATCTGCTCAGCACGATCCAGCTCCAAGTCTGGAACTAACAAACACCTGTAAAAATAAGAGTGGGTTAGGCCCACATGCAAATTCTTCTCTAACTACAATCCAAACAGTGACTCGATACGCAGATACACCCTAGATATCTCAACAATAGCTATCTAGTCCATACATATATATATATATATCCACACTAAGGGACATTCACTGGACTACAGTAGGGGTCTCAACCTGAATAGAAAGCAACATGCGAAAATGCACCCAAAGGTGGGCATGAGTACCTAGACCTAACAGGGTACACCTCAACCTACTATAGCTAGCTACGCATCCACTGCATATACGCACCCTAACCAACGAGTCTGAGGCTCAAGCTCATCTCGTGGTACCATAAACATATATATAACGTCCATTCATATCCATCAATAGGAAATCCAATAAGTCGTTCAGCTTATTCAGCTGCACAGACTTAAATATAAGGAGAATTATGTTTTTATAATTCGAAC